TTTAAAATTAATGAGTTGTAAATTATAATGCAAAATAAAAAAAATTTGTGGTATATTGCAAGTAGTGACTTTTTGAAACATCTAAAATGGCACTTTTCTTTCAAAAGCTAAACTCACAAGTATAATTCTTAAAAATTAAGGTTTTATTTTAAAAAATAATTTTTCCTAGTAAATTCCTAAGAATTTCCCAAGGATCAAGAATCTATTTTTTTATGTAAATTCTACCTGTAATCATTCCTAGGAATTTCCTAGGAAATTCTTAGGAACCTAGTAATGTTTGTTCACACCTCTAGAGAGCTTAAATGTTTTTAGGAAAATTCCACTGACTCCTAAGAAATTCCTAGGAAATTCCTAGGAATCCTAGAAAGCTAGGAAACCAATACTCTTAGGCTTCTAGTTTTATTGTCAAGCTATTCTCAAAAGTTGGAATACTTTCTTTCACTACCTTGGGTAAAACTTTCTTCATTACTTTCTTAGATAAGGAAAAGTAATTTGCTAACTAAAATGGTGTGGCCTCCTTAACTAAAGTCAACCAGAAAGCATCCAGTATTGGACTTTTGTTCTCCCTGGTACCACTATGGATTTCATTACAGGCATCGATGGTCTCTCTTGTACGTCTTTGACAAGTTCTTTTTGCAACAGGAACTGCATATTCTTCAGAACTGGCTTCTGATATGGAGGTTGGAAATCTTCGTCTTTTCAGAAGTTTTCTTTTTCTTACAATGTCAGTCTCGATTACTCTTTTTTTCACTAACTCCACATCATTCTGGATTCTTTCAACCTATGAAAAATTTGCCGGATAGTTAAAATTAATCCACAGTCCTAAATTTTCTACCCAAAGATAAATAGAATGGCAAAATCCTGAAAACAACTTGAGTCAGAAATTTCATGCATCAATGTATGACTGTGATGAAATTTAAACAATTTGTAACTTGAGAAAAAACATGAAAGATACTGAATTCAGTAAAGCTGAGGCACATTTTGGATCACAACATTTCGTGTCTATTTTTACCGTTCCCAATTTAATATCTTCAGTCAAAAATAATAGACACCTATATAAATATAATCAACACCGTCACCATTTATCAAACAAACGAGCAAAAAGCAGTCTTTCTTTATCAACATAATACATATGAGCAAATTTACTTTTCCTTGCCTTTCTTTTCAGTTTTTTCAGCTTTGAACTTTCCGTCGAGTAGACTTTGCAGTTTGAAATAAACTCCTCTTTGAGTACTTTCCGCCTACGGGGAAGTTCCCCAATTGCAAACTTTTCCTTTGCTATTGTCTTGGAGCTTCTTGCTCTCTTTCGAGTAAAGCTCGCTCCCAGTTGTACTAATCCAGCTAGGGATGAACCTGGTTCTGCTTCAACAGTGGTCAACACAGCTAGATTCCAGCTTTCAGCTCACGCGGTACCAATTTTCAGAAGCTGAAAACAATGAATCTACATTCAGCAAATACAATGACTATCACAGGAACCCATCGCTTTAAAATTTTAAAATAGCCTCTAGAAATTTTGTAATCTCTTTCTTTACCTCAGTATATCATCCCAAGGGTTACGCCATAGCACGATGAAAAAGCAAAATTCTGGGCCTTGTACTTACCATATTCTTCTAAAAAACATCGCTACGGAAAGATCCATTTTCACTCTTCTAAAATGGCCTCCTCTTTCGTTCACAAACCCCACAAATATCCCACAATTCAAAGAGAACCCTTAAATAAATCTAAATAAATTTGTTAAAAACTAAAAATGGCGCCCAACGCCATCTTGGATAGAGAAGCCGCTGCTCGAAATGGCCGTATTTCTGAGCCCGTCAGCCCGGCGTGTTGCTGTCCAAAACAAGAGTTTGCTTCTCTTCAGGGAGAACAACAGGAAGAAACCAATTCTTACTCTGACCACGGTTACAAGGAACTCGAATAATGTCCCATTCCATCAAAGGAGCTTTTCCTTTCAGAGATTCTTGTGTTGAACCATTTCTGAACCCCTTCTCAAATAACTCCCACTCCAAAATTTCGACTTTTGTACCTGTGGCCATTCCCTTGGTTGGAATGAGGTGCAAATGAGCCTCTATGACAAAGTTTGTGAGGTAATTATCAGAATCTTGTGCTTTGCGCCCATACAAACTTTGAAGATCTTTGTCATCAAGGGTACTGTTTCCTTTAAACATGACAGTCCCATTCAGTACACAATTTAGAAAAGGTGCTCTGTTTTCTGGAAAAACAAAGGCTGCTTCGTTGTTAAACTTTTGGGCTGTCATCTGATGGATTCCATAATTCACTTCCATGTCATTCTGTGCGGAGTGCTGTTGTGTGTTTAAAGAGAGCTGACTTTTTTCATAGGCATTGCACTCCTCTTTGACTTGAGAATCATCAAGAAGTCTATCCAGTGTGGAACTTCTGAAAATATTTCCAGGTGTTGCACTCGATTTCTTCCTTTTGGGTAACTGTATCAGTACCTTCTGGAGCCATGCCACTCTTCTTTGTCTTGTTAACTTTTGGTGCTGGACCAGACTGAGACTGTTGGTGCCTTTCCTGGAAAATCTTGTGGAGCCTAGGGAAATCTCCTGCATCATCCAGCAATAGAGGTTTCTTTTCAGGGACGATATTTGGGGTTTCTTTTGTCACTTTTAGGCTGCTTGGTGGGTTTTCCTGCTTGTTTCTTTCCACCTCAGTGGATGATTTGGTGTGGAGATTCCAACTCAGGAAGTGTAATGCTCTAATTGTACTTTGATTAAGGGATCTTCACTTTTCATCCAGGATCTCACTGTAGGCAGAAAATGATCGCTCCACGTCATAAGATCCAACAGTTGTTGAAGAGTACAGGCAGGGCACTTGCCTTTGACTTCCATAACAAAGACAGATCAAAGCTTCCATCTTTACTTTGTTTCACCGCAAGGGGGCCAAGGTAGTTTACATACGTTTCCCAAACGTGCTTTAGAACTTTCTCAATACCAGGGATGCTTTCAATTAAGCTGAAGTCGTGCTCCATATCAATTATATTTCGCGGATCAAGCACTTGAACTTGTTCTTGGAACTTTGATGCCGGTTGTGCCCCATCCACAACATACTTGGACAGTTTCGATTGGGCTGCAGTAAAAACAAAACTGAACAACAAAACTAGCTCTTTCCTTTCTTTACATGTGAATGTGTGCTCTCTCAGAAAGCAAAAGGCAACATCATCTTCCAATTTCTATTTACATGTAGAAAGTGCAGGAGTTGCTCCATCTTTCCATGGACCTGGGTGACTTGAGGCACTCTTTCCTGAAAGTAATTCAGGTGCACCATGAGGATAGCTGTTTTCACTTTGAGGAATGCCAGCTGGGCCTGAAGCGTCTTCATAAAGCTTTCATCTGCTTACATTTCTTCCAATTGTAGAAGAGAATTGCTGGCGGTAGCTCTGTAACGATTTCATGGAAAGCTGGCATGTACCAGCGTAAAATGCACATGGCTTTTGCCTACTTATGTCAGTGAAGTAAATTACGCACCAGTGCAAGACATCGATTTCAGCTCAGCCAGGAAGCTCAAGGAAAATCTAGATGGGAAAATAGATACCTTAACCCCAGACTGCAAAGCGGACTTAATTGGTGACCGATTGGCTCTATTTGTTAAGGATGATGAAGTTGAAAACTGTCGCCCCACAACAGAGGAACTGTCTGCGTTCTATGCAAAGCTAAATCAGTGTAGCGTTAGCCTGTAGCACTGAGTTTGCAGGATGATTACGGAGGCCAGTTTGTAGTAGGAAGGAGACCAGTTCCTGTGATTACAGTCTTATATGAGACTCAAAACCTCGATCTAAACTATCCTGACTTGCTGAGGAAATGCTTAGCCGTGAAACTAGTAGAAAAAGACACGCGCTCTCGGCGAAATGCTCGAGTTTTTATCGACATCGGGCAGGCAGAATTGGGGCGTCTATGAGTGGTGCTGCCTCAAAGTGCAACTTAGCAAAGCCTCCGCAGTCAACAATAAGAACTATTTGTTACCCACATTTGTTCAAGGTAAATACAAAGGCAATCAAGCATGGCTGCAAGTATGAAGATATTGCAATTAAAGCATATGTTGAAATGATGTCAACCAAGCATGTTAATTTTAAGGTTGAGAAGTGTGGACTTTTTATTGACTCACAGCATCCCTTCCTCCATGCCTCCCCTGACTTTTTGAGTTCATGTGATTGTTATGGATTGGGCTGTGGGGAGGTCAAATGTCCAATGTCTATCCAAGAGTGTGATTTTGATAAGTATGCCCTTCAGAAGTCCTCTTGCTTGGAAAAGGTAGAAGGCAGTTTCAAGCTCATCAGAAGCCACAACTGTTACTATTAGGTACAACAACAACGGTTTACTCTCAAAGATAGGAAACACTGTGATTTTGTTGTTTGTGCCATTGACAATGTGAATAACAGGGTAGTAATAGTAACAGAGAGGATTCTCCCTGATAAGTAGCACCACCACACCGTCCTTCCTAGGCTAGGTACCTTTTGGAGGCTATGCATCCTCCCTGAGATACTAGGATGTTGGTATACAAGGAGGTGTCATGCTCCGGATGTCAAGCCTGTTGTGGATGCAATCTGCTTTTGTCGTTTGCCAGCAGACAACGATGTGATCACCTGCAGTAAAGTGGAATGTCCCTATGCACAATTTCACACCTCCTGTTTGTCTCTTTGTGTAGCTGGAATACCAAAGTTATAGTGCTGTCCACACTGTTGTCGGTTGCCCCAGTTCAAGCAAAAGAGAAAGTAGCAACCAAAACAACCTCCAGCCTGTCAAGCTGCTCTCCAACTAAATGCGATCTGTACATGTAAATCAAAGGCAGCACCTTCTGACAAGTTGTTAGAGTGTCACAACAGTGATTGCACAAATGGGAAATTTTTCCACCTCAACTGTGTTGGTTTAAAGAGAATGCCACACAATGCCAAGACAACCTGGTACTGCAAATTCTGTAAGAAAACTCCCTCCCCTCTTGTTCGGATTACACCTCCTACCACTTTTACCTCTTTACAAGGATTAGCCATGGCAGCTGACTCTGGGAGTGAATCCAGCAGTGACAGTGAAGCTGAAGATTCAGTAGATGATGATGTTATAGTAACCAATGTTGTTAAATGTGACATTAACAAGCAAGCTCCTCTTGCAAATCTTACAACATCTGACTACCAAATTATTTTAAACCCAACTGGTTGGCTCACTGGTGACATTGTACAAAAAGCTCAGGTACTGCTGCACGAGGAAAATCAGAAGGATTCCAATGCCCAACTTTAGGGCCTGTTCGTAATTTTGATGTAGTGTCTGGTGAATTTATACAGATTTTACATACAGGTTCTGCTCATTGGGTGTGTGTCAGTAATGGCTGCCAACCCTTTGATGCAAATTTATATGACAGTCTCTATCAAGATGTCATTTGCCAGGAAGT